TAAATCAATATCAAAAATAGTTAAACGGAAATTAAACGTATGTGTTAACAAATGCGTTTTCTTCTTAAAAAAAATCAATTATTTTTTTCTTTTTAATTCTTTTCTCTTCCAAATAAAACTTAATTTTTCAAAAATCACTTTTAGTTAAAAAAAAAAATTTAAAAATAAACATATTAACAAAAAATATTTCTAAAATATGTAAAAATTACTTATATAAATAAAAAAATTCGTTTAAAATTATTTAGAAGTAAAAAATAAAATAAAGTTATGAAAATTAAATGAAGAATATATAAATATTATTTAATTAAAATTAAAAAAATTACTTTATAAATAATTGGTTTTTTTATCAATTTATTTAAATTTCTTTTTAATTCTTTTCTCTTTTGAATAAAATTTATTTAAACTTTTTTTTTTCAAATTCTTTTGCCCTACCAACTTTGGAGTGATTGTTGTATCGTCCGAAAAATAGGCCTGCTATTAGGATTCTAATTCTTACACCAACAAGGGCGTTGGTCATCCAATAAGTGCCACTTTAAGTTATTTTACGTGCGAACCATAGTTTGTTATTTAAATATTTTTGTATGTAGATATTCTCTTTCAATTTACAACTGCATGTGTTATTTTTGAACTACAAGTATAGCCTCTCGAATCGAAGTTGCTAAAGAAAAGCATTTTGCAAAATTCAATTTACAACTTATTAGCAATATCAGATAAAAAAAATATTTTCATCTACATTAAACAAAAAAATACAATAAATAATTAAAAATAAATTATCGTTGACATATATACAATCACAACATTCATTATACTTATTTATAAAAGTAAAAATAAATTATCATGACATAAAATATACAGTCGACCAAAAGATGATAATCAAACAAACATTTCTTATTTCCAAATACTTTTTGTACAATCTATAAATTTTACGCTAATAAAACCAAAATAAATACAAAATTCGTGTAACGCACGAGACGCAGACTAGTGTTATATTAAAAATAGAAGGATTCAAATTTTTACCTAAAATCAATGGTCAATTCTTGAATTACTTTTGAATCATGAACTTTCAACTTTTTGGATCACAAACTTCCAAAATTTAACAATTCAATAGAAAATACTCAAGTAGTCACTCTTTCCATTTTTCATAGTGACAATTTCCAATAAGAATTCATGTTCTCTACTTCGTTTATTCTCAAGCTCTCAACTCGTCGAGGTATTTGACTAATCAAGTTAATCTCATCCATTGATGAATCAAAAAATAATTAAAATCACGAAAGGATATACATAACTCTGTCAAGGGGTTTAGATGAAATACACGACAATCAAGTGAAATCTAATTCTTCTTCATGCTATAGAATTAAATTCGACAACAAGTGTACTAGTGTCACCTTTAATTATTTCTACTATAAAAACAAACGCAATTTCGAATAGTGAATCGATAAATACTACAACATTCTAATACAATGCCAGGTGTCAACTCTTAGACATTGGCTTTGTATAAATTATTTATGATCAAAATATAAGTTGTGTTATACTATATTTCTCAACTTAAGTACTCAACTTATATTATTACAAGTGATTATAGGCACTTTGATTTTTTATGCTCAATAATAAATAAATAAAATCACGATTTATTTATTATAAATTATTATTTTATCATAGCAAAGTATACTACATGAGCACAAGATCCAACAAGAATATGGATAAGTGTAAGTAGAATTTATAAAAATTTCATTGAATTGATATAGAGGTAGAGACTTTCCAAATTTACTTGTGCAATTGAGTTATCTAAAACATTAGGGGTGTGTTTGATTGACTTTAATTTTCATGAAAATTATCATTTTTCTATTTAAATTCTTACTTTTGGGGTGCTTGATTGATATATATATATATATATTGTCTTCAGGCAATTCACCCACTCAATCTCTTTCTATCTCATCCATCCACCAATAAAAGATCTACAAGTATGTCATCTTCTAGGTAAGAATTAAATTTATCGAATACATTTAATGAATAATTTCCATGCAAGTTCTATGCTTACAATCAAACATACACTAATATTTCTCTAATTTGAATTTTTACTAAGGGACATTCTTGAGTAATATGCTGTTCTAAAATTAAAATTTTCATGACAATCTTATTCGTATAAAGATTTAAGTATTTGAAGAAAAGGATTTAGTGTTAGTTTGAGAGAGATTATTTGAAGTGAATTTTTTTTATTATTATTTTTTAAAAGAATGGGTGATTAGAAAGTATGATAAAGTTATGAGTCCTTGTGAAAAAATATTTTATTTGGAGAATGACTGATTGAAAATGAGTTTGAGAAAAAACGATTCAAATGAGCTATGTCAAACAAACGCATATCCTTTGAAGTGGCAGTGTATGATGTTCGATATACAAATTTGCAATGTGCTAGGGGTTTAGTTTCCCCAGTTAATACTTGAATTTTCAACTTTTTCCTTTCTCTTTTGTGGAAGTTAGATTCTAATTTTATCTAGTTAACATTAATAGAAGAGAGAGAAAGCAAAAACTAAAAGCTCTTTAGTTCATGCATATGTAAAATTCTCAATTACTTGGAAATTGATATCTTGTACATAATCTTTTATTGGGATTCCTATATTTATGAAGATCAATCAATTGCACCAGAAAACAAGTTCTAGGACATAGCATATTATTCTGATTTTAAATTTTAAATTAATTATTTTATTATGCTATTGTTATGTAGTTGATTCTTTGTTGTGTACTGCTGATATCAACGGTTATATAAACTTGGGCTTATGAATTTTCTCCATTTTGGTACATACAAGTCCTTATTGGGCCATGATTTACGTCGGCCTATTTTAGTCAGTTTAATTTGGGGTATTCGGCCCATCAGCCCAATTGGTATTTCTTTATTTTTAAAAAATAATTATTAGAAAAATAATTTTCTGAATTAAAGAGCTTCGTCGATTCCCCATCCCGGGCATTGACTTCGTTGACTGTAATGCCTTTGGAAAGTTCGCTCTGGTGTCTTTTTGTGGATTTTTTAATTTTATTTATTTGAAGCAGAATTGAATTAAATATGTTATTTTTCTGATGTTGTTTGACTTTCTATAAAGTTTATTTGATTTTATTTTTTATTTCTTTATAAAAAAATATGCACAAAAATCAATTAATTTTCATCGCGATAGAATAAATAAAAAATCTCTTGCACACTGATTCCAATGGCTTGGTGTATGCAATCCAATTAATTCGAAGTAATCTATGCATTAAATTTTAAGATAGTATGTCTGTCAGATTCTTTTGAACATTAATGCTAATCATAATCAATTATTTACTAATTAAAATTCATCGATATACCAAAACTGACTTCCTATTGATTCATCTCCCAACAATGACAAAATTACATGAACTCTATCAAGTCAAGCATTTTATTTTATGTCACTAAATTAAAAAGTGTGCTATTTCATGTTTTATATATAAGCATTTCGTTGAATACGCAATCGAAATTGATTGATACGGAGAGAGTTTTCATATAATAATTAATAGGTATAATACCTTTTCATGAGCAATATGAGACTCAGAAGTAGTCGTTACAATCAATCTCTCTTTAAGTCATTTCTTCTGCATCAAGAATTGCCCAAGACGGAGCTAGTTCTCTAATATCATTACTACAAGTACGTCAAATATATTCAATGTAAATTATAAACTTGCAAGTTATGCCTTAATAAGCAATGCAACACTCAAACTTAGTAGCCGTTACAAAATCTCATTTTGATAGTAAATTTTTTATGGGCACCGAAAAGATATTAAAACTTTTTCCTGTATTGGGTGCACCTTTTCATATTGGTGTCTTATAAACAATATACAATATTTATGAGTTGACAGAGGCAAATATAAGTTGAAAGTATTTGAACTTTAACAAGAATATGGTCTTCTTGGCTTGCAATTAGGCATTAGCACTAAAGTCTTTTGAAAAAGTTAAAAAATCTCCTTTACTAAACTTTTTGTGAGCTGTGACTGACAAAATGTTGAACCTTTTTGATCTTCTGATTTTTGTATAGATAAGGAAGGATTTAGCAGTGGCAAAGCACACACGAGGAGATGTAATCTCACTTTGAACCTTTCCTGTTTGCTTTTGTTTTGACCTTCAACTTTCAGCCCTTTTTAGGTAATTTAAACCCCAATGTAAACTACCTTTTTTCCCAACTTTATGCAACCATTCAATGCACGATTGGTTCGTTAATCACCGTAGTTAACAGTATTGACGAATTATTTGTTTGATCTATCTAGCATTTTGAGATGAATCCGTTTTTACATGACTGGCGGCGGAAATTATATTATGGAAAATGGGATGCGTTAGAGATGAAATTGTACGATTTCTAGCAAGAGGAGGTCCAAAATGTCTTTTTGAATATTCCTCAATGTCCCAACTATTGAACGTGAGAAATAGACAAATCACACCCTTTTGGAGGAAATCAAAGAAGTTCTTGAGAATCCTACAAGATCCATTCTTTCTTCTCTCTTTGATAGATGGGATTCGGCCTAAGACTTACACTTATGATTAGCTAATTTTTAATCACCAAAAGTTTTACAACATTAATTTAGTTGAATCATTAAAAGAAACTTTAATGTTCAACTTTCCTATGGCATCACTAATCCCAAGAATCATAATTTGGGACGACCTTTATTTTGGTTAGAATATCGTGTAATATTACAAAGGTAAGATAAATGACCCCAAATATTCCCTGCACCCTTTGCTTTGGATATATATACAGAGAGTCACCTTTTCTATACCCAGTCATTAAATGCCCATGGACTTGCTTGAATGTAAAGCCAAGTCCCCCCAACTAATTTACTTCTTTTAATGCACAAAAAAGTCTTGAACTTACATTCCAAAAGACACACCAAAGGTGCCATTGCTGACCCACCAGTCAAAAAAAAACAGTAAGCCTTTTATTACAAGGATAATATTAAACCAAAACGTTATCTTATGCTCACTAACTCTCGATCCATCACCGAGAAGAAAATAAGTGTACAATATAATTAAGTTTCACGCAATCCAATGCATAACATGTATGTTGTGTCAGTGTAAACAATTACATGGCTTGAGACTTGCTATAAATTAGGGTATGGAGTGGTGTGAGTACCTATAAAAGATTAAGTTACTGTATTTCAAATTGAGAATATCAGTTTTGAACCAATTTGGTCATTACAAAGATAGATTCTGTTTCAGCTTTCCAAGAATTCATGTAAGTGTGTCTATGTGCGTGAATTGTCTCTCTGTCTTTTACTGAAATGTACCATTTATTTCTCAGAAACGGAGGATGCAGCAGCATATTTCTTTTTGTTACCAAATTTAATGTTTCTTGGACCTTTCTTATACACTGTTTTTTATTCTGTTTGAACCCTTGTTTCTTTCTGTTGGATATGCAGTTCATGCATTTAATGTTGTTCCAGAGAAATTTCACAAATGGGGTCACAGATTTTTGTTGGGCTTCTATATTTATGAAGGAATTTGCATCATTTGAAATTATTACAATACACGGAATTGAACATTTCAAGACCTAATAAAGGTATGTTTCTTTTCCATTTGTAAGTTTCATATATGCTCCTTATTGTAGTGTTAGTTTTCCCAGGATAGAGAAAACTTTTGTAATATCTCGTTGAGTTAAAACGGGAGCTTTGAAGTGCAACTTGTCTAGGTCAATAAATTGTTTAGCTTAAAAAAGTCTGGATTTCGACTTATATTGATTAAACCAGGCCAGAACTGAGGAAGAAAAGTTCAGCATTTGCAAGGCTTCTTACCCATTTGTTTTGGTGAAAATTTAATTAATCAAGTTCAGAGTAACCGTATTGAGTTGAAAGTTTTCTCAAATCTTGCAATGGGGCATTTGAAAAACATTGAAGCCAAGAAGAGACAACTGCCCCCGAGCGAGGCTCAATTTTTTTTGAAAGAAGAGGTAACCTTGTTACTTTTTGTGTTGTGCAGCTTATTTGGATAACTATAATAATCACCTATCAGTATAAGATGCTTTTTATCCAATCAGAACATTTATAACTGGTTTGTGATGCCTTGCTCATTCTTTTGTAGATTATACAGCTTCAGAGACAACTGGAGGACCAAATTGTAGTAAGAACAGCTCTCGAGAAAGCAATGAATTTCCAACCTCTCTCGGACGATCCAACAAATAAATCACTTAACCAGGTGTTCTTTTAGTTCTTTCTTTATGGTGTTAGCTTAACACGAGAAACTCAATATTAGCTTATAATAATGTACTTAAGAGAGTTGAAAAATGAAATCAACTGAACTACTTTCGCGTGCTTCTTTTCTTCTTTACTTAAATTGCTCTTGCTTAAATATTGCTCGTTACTCTTGCTTGTGTGCAGACTGCTGGTGATCTCATAAAGGAAATTGCTGTTTTGGAAATGGAAGTTGCATACTTAGAGAAATATCTTATATCATTGTATAGGAGAGAGTTATCCAAAAGGTTATCGACCTTTCCTACAATGGATGAACGAGAAAACGCAAATGTAGAAACTCTTATAAGGAAGTTACCAGAGTTTTCCAAACCGGGTTTAACATCAGTGAAAGAAAATTCAGTATCGTTTGTGCCACCTCAAGATTCAATAGACAATTTACATGTGAAATGCAATGACATTTTGGGAGCAGAAACACTGGTTGATACTGGTATAGGCAGAAGCCAATCATCACTATCTCAGCGTTCGACTTGTGCTTACAGAACTTCTCCGTCTCAAACTGTTTCTGAAGCTGTAGACTTGTATCATTCTTTACCTTTGTCGATGTTGGAGGTATTGGCAAAGAAAAGTAGCTTAAAAGTGACTTTTAAACGATGAAATTTAGTTAAGACTATTAAATTGTGTATTGTTGTGGCTTTTTCCAGAGGGCTAAGGGCTCGACCTCGAGTGCCAGTTTGGCAGAGCAACTAGGTTCCGGTTTTCCTGACCGTGCTCGAGAAACACCTAATTGGCTTTCCGAGGAGATGATTAAGTGCATCTCAACTATATATTTTCATCTCTCTGACTCACCTTTGATCAATCATGAATTCAGTTCAGCCATTTCACATTCATCCCCAGTGAGTAAATTTTCTCCAAGGCAATGTGAAGAAAATACATGGATGAATAGTCCTTTCTATATTGGAGCGTCTAAAGAATTTTCCGGACCTTTCTTCGCAATGGTTGAAGTTCGACGCATTCTTAGAAATAGCCAAAGAAGGGCCTAATGCTTTATCAGGGCTAATAATAATTCAGGTATTTTCTTATATTGCAAAAGGTGAACATTTGTTCAATTTGGGGCCTGGATATGTAGGAAAGATGTTACATTTTCCTTTCTTTTATGGTAAATAATGTATTAATATGCAGATAAATAAGTGAAGGCTATATGATGCCTCTGTAAAATTAGAAAATGCAACGTCTACAGTGAAATTGCTGAAGTCTTTAGAAAATAAACTAGGAGGGATTTAGTAGACACACTGGCCAATGGCGAAGTCATGGTGTCTGAAAATATAGGTACTCATACTATTCGATATTACTACAATTCCTAACTTCACCGAGGCAGATTGCCTTATATAGTCAATTGACATTGTTTGGACTAATCAGCAACAATATTTCCGAGCATTGTACCTCAGGACATTTTCTAATGTCTCTATCTTTCGTGTCGATAAAATCTCCTTCAAATGTCCCATAAAAGGTTGGTCAAAATTTGTAACAACGTAAAGCACTTTCGACTATTCGAATTTCAATTGGTGGACGATGGGGTTTCCTTGCTGGTGCCCTTTTTCTTCTGATGGTTCATGTAACCACATATATAATGTAGGAGGATTTGAAACATCTGAACAAGTTGCAGTTAATGGTGAATGTGGGATAACAATGAAATAATTCAATGGTAGCCAGGAAAATCTTTAAAATGCAGTGAATGTGCGACAGATATGTTTGAGGATCCTTAAAAGCTTGTTTTGGTGTTTTTTTAACCAAAAATGAACTTTGAGATAGTTTTAAATAAAGTTTACTAACATAATTCCTAGCTATTTGTAAATTGAAATGAAGTGTAAGATTCAAGTGCGTTGAATTGGAATGAGAGCCAAGTGTAAATTCTGTCTAATTATCAATTGCGGGCAATTTGTGCAACTAATTTAAATTGTTGAGGAAGTTAATCAAATTGAGTCCTTTTGTGATGAATATAAGTAGTTTATGAAGATTTGTACATAATGTTTGTATGAAGAAAAGAAAGATTCATCATTTTAATGAAATCTTTCTAGAGTAAACGAATTTGTATTGGTACATGAAATTTTGAAATTGTCTTAATTGGTGAATAATGGCTAGATATTGTTGCCAGTGGATTTTGTGCTACTTTGTCTATTATTGAATCATGTATCAAACTGAAAATGAAAATTAAATAGTTATGATGCATATGTTGACAGAACACAAATAAAATCCTCCCCTCAAGAACTCGAGACAGTGCTCTAATCTACTCCCTATTCTGAAATTTTCTTTATAACAAATTCTCAATGGGGTTTAGCTTCAATTCATATGGGATATGGCTCTGAGTATCATCCAACTGGCTTAGTGTCATGTGTGCACATGACAAGGATGTTTCACGATGCTACAACCCAAATCTGCAAAGCTATCTTGACTATCTGTAGCTAATTATTGAAGTTCATGTGACCATGACTTCATTAACTTTGACCCTTGGACATCCACGTTATTAGGTACGTAAGGATGTAAACCATGAGAAAGAAAAAAAGATCAAATTGTTTTGGCTCTTTTTAGCCTCTGCACAACTGTTGCAATCAAATTGTTTTGGCCTTTCTTTGCAGCAACTTTCAAACATTTCCCTAACCTATCAAGATTCAATTGAAACAAAAATTACACACACAACAAACACTGAGAGAGGATTAAGATGGATGAAGATAGAATAGGGCTAGTGTTGGCAAGAACCTCAGAATTGAGGTCCAAGATCATCAATTGCATTCACAAAGCTTCTGCTAATGTTGAAAAAGGAGTTAAAGAAAATGATAACCCGGATGCAGAAAGTCAGGAAAACGAGGATGAAGAAACAGAGTGTCTACTCGATATTCGAGATGCCCTTGAATCCCTTGAAGCTCAACTATCTTCTTTGCAGGTTCTTTCTTGATTTTCTAACTAAATCTTGAATTTAGCTATATATTTTGCGACGACGTTTTTAGGGTTTTTCAAGAAATCCCTAATCTTGAAATTTCATATGGGTTCTTGTTATTGAATGAATCGAGATTAATTTCCTAACTCTAGGGTTTAGGATCAATGGGTAGTTCCTAGAGGGGCCTAATGCTTTATCAGGGCTAATAATAATTCAGGTATTTTCTTATATTGCAAAAGGTGAACATTTATTCAATTTGGGGCCTGGATATGTAGGAAAGATGTTACATTTTCCTTTCTTTTATGGTAAATAATGTATTAATATGCAGATAAATAAGTGAAGGCTATATGATGCCTCTGTAAAATTAGAAAATGCAACGTCTACAGTGAAATTGCTGAAGTCTTTAGAAAATAAACTAGGAGGGATTTAGTAGACACACTGGCCAATGGCGAAGTCATGGTGTCTGAAAATATAGGTACTCATACTATTCGATATTACTACAATTCCTAACTTCACCAAGGCAGATTGCCTTATATAGTCAATTGACATTGTTTGGACTAATCAGCAACAATATTTCCGAACATTGTACCTCAGGACATTTTCTAATGTCTCTATCTTTCGTGTCAATAAAATCTCCTTCAAATGTTCCATAAAAGGTTGGTCAAAATTTGTAACAACGTAAAGCACTTTCGACTATTCGAATTTCAATTGGTGGACGATGGGGTTTCCTTGCTGGTGCCCTTTTTCTTCTGATGGTTCATGTAACCACATATATAATGTAGGAGGATTTGAAACATCTGAACAAGTTGCAGTTAATGGTGAATGTGGGATAACAATGAAATAATTCAATGGTAGCCAGGAAAATCTTTAAAATGCAGTGAATGTGCGACAGATATGTTTGAGGATCCTTAAAAGCTTGTTTTGGTGTTTTTTTAACCAAAAATGAACTTTGAGATAGTTTTAAATAAAGTTTACTAACATAATTCCTAGCTATTTGTAAATTGAAATGAAGTGTAAGATTCAAGTGCGTTGAATTGGAATGAGAGCCAAGTGTAAATTCTGTCTAATTATCAATTGCGGGCAATTTGTGCAACTAATTTAAATTGTTGAGGAAGTTAATCAAATTGAGTCCTTTTGTGATGAATATAAGTAGTTTATGAAGATTTGTACATAATGTTTGTATGAAGAAAAGAAAGATTCATCATTTTAATGAAATCTTTCTAGAGTAAACGAATTTGTATTGGTACATGAAATTTTGAAATTGTCTTAATTGGTGAATAATGGCTAGATATTGTTGCCAGTGGATTTTGTGCTACTTTGTCTATTATTGAATCATGTATCAAACTGAAAATGAAAATTAAATAGTTATGATGCATATGTTGACAGAACACAAATAAAATCCTCCCCTCAAGAACTCGAGACAGTGCTCTAATCTACTCCCTATTCTGAAATTTTCTTTATAACAAATTCTCAATGGGGTTTAGCTTCAATTCATATGGGATATGGCTCTGAGTATCATCCAACTGGCTTAGTGTCATGTGTGCACATGACAAGGATGTTTCACGATGCTACAACCCAAATCTGCAAAGCTATCTTGACTATCTGTAGCTAATTATTGAAGTTCATGTGACCATAACTTCATTAACTTTGACCCTTGGACATCCACGTTATTAGGTACGTAAGGATGTAAACGAGTTGAGCTTGCCAGTTATTTGCCCTGTGGATTAGTCGAGGTATGTATAAGTTGGTCTGGACACATACGGTCATTAAAAAAAGGGAAAAAAAAGCATGCCAGTTATTTGAAAAATATTTGGTCTTGATCTTGAGCCTTCGTAGAATATTTGGTCTAGTACAAAATATTAAGCTCTTGTTTGATAAAACTTAATTGAAAAAGAGATTTTTCCTACACTCATTTTCACCACATTAAGTTAATGATGATTAAATTGATGATATCTGAGCCAGTTTACTCAATTGGATCAAATCAGTATTCCACGGCGCTCGAGCTTAAGATAGCTCAATCCAAAGAAAATCACGGCTTGAGTTGACTCAAAAAACTTTCTCTTGCTGATTGTAGTAAATATTTTGCTTGTATGCTCTACCAATTTGATGGTTATCATATACCTTCTCTGTTTTTTTTCCCTTATCTGAATAGCAGTGTTAAAGCTTTCTTTATTATGTTCATTAGGCACTTCAGCAGCAGCAATGGTATGAAAAAGAAGCGGCCTTGGCTGAGATCGAGTACAGCCAGAAAAAGTTACTCAAGGAGCTAAAGGAATATGAAGGCACGAACTTGGACGTTATACATGAGGCTATTTCATTTGCTAGTGAAACAGAGGAAAGCAATGATCTCCTCCTTCCTCCATATCCAAGACGGCCTTCTCATTCCCTAGTTTCAGATAATGGCCATCTCTCATCCTTCCTCTCCACTCACAAGTTTTCTCAAAACGAGTCAATAAGGGTTAGGCCAAGAGATATCTACAAATCAGAGAGAACCCAGACGCCTAATGAGTCGAGGAGTCTATTAAAAGGGGCAAGTGTATTAGTTGGTACAGCTGCCAAAGCAGCACTGACTATTATCGGAGTAATCTCCATCTTGAATCTGGCTGGTTTTGAGCCAAGTGTAAGAAAACGGGGTAATCATTTCAGGATTTTGGACATATTTCAACTTCGACGGAACAATGATGAGGATACAGCCGTCAAATGTCCACCTGGGAAGGTCCCAGTGTTGGAAAATGGTGAAATGAGGTGTGTTGTTAAGGAGAGGGTCGAAATTCCATTCGAGTCCAGTGTCTCAATACCAGATGTGAACTATGGTTGTGGATGAAATGTTATTTATGTATGTCGAACTGCTCTTTTTTTTTTTTAGCGTTATAAACTTTCTTGATTACTGTTGAAACTAAGATTTCTTTATAAGACGTGTCGAAGATAGGATTGGTTAGTTATGAAATGGATGGTAACTGAACTCAATCCTCGAATAGAAACATGGATTACAGGTTCGTGTCAAAAAATTTCTTGATTCTGCTGAAACTAATTGTTTAGTTATGAAAGAGACGGTCATCAACTCAATTCTTGAATCTCGATTACAGGTTCTTGTGGAAAACTTTCTCGATTAATGTAGAAATTGAGATTGAATTATAAGTTGTTACTAGGACTAATCTGAATTTGAATTTTTGGAAATTTAAAGATTTTCCATTTCAAGCTCTGATCCAATTAAAGGGATTAACAATTCAAACAAGAATCTGCTTTCCATTCATAACACACTATCTGGTACTCGTGTGCTTGTACTCCTTGAAGGTATTTTGTTTAGTTCCAGTTGTAAATCATCGCCAATAAAACACCCCTTTTTGGGACTTTGTCTCAAGAGGTCTGTTCCTTACACAATCGTCTGATTCTTTTTTAATTGTTAGCGACTACCAGCGCGAAACAATTTGACACGCCCGGTGGAACCTTGGTGTTTGGTGTTGAAAATACAAAAGGTGAAACAATATGCTTCACAAATCTGATAAGGAAGCAGCAAGTCAGGGAAGAGCCCAGTCTGTGATCGAGCGATATGAGGAGTGACAAAGCTCTCCATGAACAGAGGAACAGAGTCAGAGCAGTCACAGTCGTTACGAACCAATGACAGAGTTAAATCCTCAAACCATGCATGCATTGCTTGGAGAACTCACACTGGATGTCGTTAAACAGGTAAAATTACGAAATGTTCATAATATGGAAAGATTTACCCAGAATGGGAATGCACATTATGAACACATGCCCAAACAACTGAATACATTAAATGAAATGATGAATAAGTTAGTAGGCCAAATTTGTCAGTCAGTTGTGCCTGTTGCAAATCACTTTCAAATTAGGACAATCATGGGACATAATTCCCCAGTCCTAAGTCCGAATTAGGGGATAGAACCACCGTTTGGTCCACCTACTTCAAACCAGGAGGATGGTGTAATGCCAAATCAGAATAGTGGTAATGGTACATCTAACTTGGGGGTAACCTAAATATAAGAGATAATGTCCTAAATAATGAACAGAATACCCCACGTGTCAATGACGGAATAAATGTTCAAATTAATGGTAACAATTGCCCAAATCATGGCAACTTTGTCGCCAACCAAGGACCAAACATTAGGCCTCAGGCAAATCAACCGATCAACCAACCTGTAGGAATTCCATATGACCTCAACGTCATGTTGAGAAATCAAATTATGAAAATAGTACAGGATCAAATGGCTTTTAGGGTATATCCTGTCATTAGGCCGACTTACACAAAGCCATACCCTGATTGGGTAGACCAAGCATATCCATGGCCTAAAGGGTACAAAGTTCCAGAATTCTCATTATTTACCGGGTTAGGAGAGGTGTCTACTCTAGAACACATAGGGCGATTCACACTGCAAAGTGGTGAAGTAACCGACTATCATAAAATGGGTTGTTCCCTAGTTCATTAACAGGAGTAACTTTCTTTTGGTTCATCAATTTGCCAGCAAACTCTGTTCAAACATGGTAACAATTGGAGCAATTGTTCCATGCTAAATTTTATAAGACTGAGTCTGAAGTTATTTTGGCTGATTTGACGAATTTACGTCAAATGCCAAACGAATGGGTAGAAGATTTCCTTCAAAGGTTCAAGATAGCAAAAAGTAAATGTTTTGTACCTTTGCTCGAAAAGGAGTTTGTCAAAATCTCTCAACGTTGTCTAAACTTTGATTTGAAAAAGAAATTCCAAGATAGGGAATTTCCTGATCTTTTCCAATTATGCTCAAATGTGATTAGGTATGAACGATTAATAAGAGAAGAAAAGCAAATGAAAAATTCTAGTAAGGAGACTTATTATAGAGACCCAAATTTTGATGTTCATACCATTAATGACAAATATTACGATCAAATCGAAATGTGTTTGGCCGAATTAATCAAAGGAGATGCGTATACTTGTCTTATAATGGCTAAGCCTAGATCGTCGGGCAAAGATGAGCCTATAAAAGATGAAAACAAAAAGGCTAGAACGTTCTTGTTCAATGTAACCAAGGCTGACCTTATATTTGATAAACTATATAAGGATAAGCAGATAAAGTTGAGCGATAAACATAAGTTGCCAAACCCTGAACAAATCAAAGGTAAAAAATATTGTAAGTGACATAATGCATGGTCGTATTTGACTAACAACTGTTTGGTATTTCGCCATGTGTTATAGGACGCCATTGAATCAGGACGAATTATGTTCGAGGATAAGAAGAAGATGGCAATGGATGAAAACCCTTTTCCATAGCCACTTGGGGTGAACATGATGACGACTGGTTTCAAAAACAAGTTGCCAAAATTCAAGTTGGTTATAGATGATGGAGAAGAGGACCCTGGGCCACACCCCAGTGTCTTTGAACGTATCAAAGGGAAGGAGCCTAAAAAGGATGAAGACATCCTGCGTGCAAGATGTAAAAGAGAAGTGAGTGCAAATACAGAGAAGCCAGGGATATGGCAGCATCACCATCGCCCTAATTTTTTTCCAAACGCTCAGCCTGGTAGAGGGCGAGGTACATCATTCTCTAGGGGACCACTTTTTGAGAGGCAGTTCAAGTCAATAAATAATGAGAGACCATTCAGGCCGCAACCTCGCCAACCAAATGTATGGCATTCGTTCCAGTATAATGCAGGAAGGGTGATACCCTTCAACGAGATGACTAGAACCCAACAAAGGCATTTTAAACGGAATTATGGACAAATGATGAGGCAATAACAGGGAGTGCTACATCCTAAGGCGCCTAAACTACTCGAGATGGCCAATCAAAATGTTCTCGAAGACAGTAAGGAGACTGGTACAGGTGAGTCGATGGAAGAATTGCCAGAGAGTTCTTCTGGGAGATCGAAGTTTGAGCGAGGCAGAAGGGATGGAGAAGATCCAGATCAGCCCCTTACTATTCAGTTCGATATATTACCTCATGTCGTGGCTAATAACTATTTACTAGCCAATGAGTTCAAGAACAAAGAGAAAGAAGAAGAAGAAGAGAGGGAGGATAACGAGGAAGAAGCATGTGTGCTGGAATGTGAAGAAGGCCAAACTTCTAGAGGGGCCTACAATGGTGAAGAGGATGATGGTATGATGGACATCGAAGAGGAAATTGATCTGGAAGCAGAAAGAAGAAAGAGAGAGTATCACACAATACTCTGTTGAAGCAACTACATCGAGAGGGAGTTCGTGAAGTGGACTTGTTGGGGGAACCATCTGGGCGTTCTTTCGATTATTACGTGCTGTACGGGACGCCCAAGAAGAAAAAGAGAGTACTTCGCTTTGAAAAGTATGGATCACCTCCAAGAATAATGCCTCCTCCCACAGGTTGGGTAACCGAAGAAGAAGCGTTAGAAAATAATAAAAAGGAAATTCAGGAAGCGAAAGCTCAATGCAACATACTGCACGTTGACTTATCACAAAAAGATAATTCAGCAGAGAACAAGCAGGAAGTGGAAATAGATACTGCCGAAAAGGTTCTTTTTAAGAGACCAGCCATGAAATTAACTAAACACTTGAGACCATTGTACGTTAAGACTTTAGTTAACGGTATACCTGTGGCGAAAGTACTTATCGATAATGGAGCAGCTATAAACACCATTCCATCTAGGATGATGAGGAAATTTGCAAAGACAGAAAGTGACGTGATTCCAACAGAAGTCATCCTTGCAAGTCTTAATGGATGAGCAACTTCAACCAAAGGGGTTATGCCATTGGACATAACTGTAGGGACAACTACTAGGACCATAGTCTTCTTCGTAATAGATGATCCTACTAGTTACAATGTGTTATTAGGAAGGGATTAGATACACGAAAGTTGCTGCATACCTTTGTCGCTCCATCAATGCCTGATTTTCTGGAATGACAAGGGTGAAACAGAAGTGGTGCAAGCAGATCATAAACCTTTTGTCGCAGAAGCAAACTCAGTGGAAAGGTTCATGTACGAAGGAAATTACGGACCTGTCAGAGTCGTCCAAGATGGAGAAGAAACTCAAATTGTTGCACAGAGCGAAGAGCCATTTTCGGTAGATGCACTCATTGAATGTTCAGTCAAATGAGGCCAAACATAGTGGCCCTGGAAGAGCTAGTAATTGGCAAAAAAGTAATTAAGGAGTTTTAAATGAGTTGTAAGCAATAAAGGCAAATGGCCGATGTTCAGGCCTTCAAAGCCAAATTAATGGCTTTCAATACAGAATGTAAAGACAAGACGAAAGAAGAAGAAGCCTTGAAAGGATTAGGATACAAATTGGTAATGTTCGAGTTAGAACAAAGTATTGACCGAGAAGTCAACAAGGTAGATTGTTTAGAAGAAGAAGTGCCTATAAGGGAATTGGACGATGAAGTAATGAGGATCACCAAGCCTGGATACGCTTAAGCACAAGACCCTTTGATTAAAGTGAATATTGGCAATGAAGGGAAAGATCGCCCAATATTCGTCAGTCAGATGCTCGATCAAGAGGTTAGTGATAAATTAATCACTTTATTAAAGGAATATAAGGATTATTTTGCTTGAGAATATGAACATATGCCTGGTTTAGATAGAGATTTGATGGAACATATATTGCCAACCAAGCCAAATTGTAAACCTCATAAGCAACCTCCTAGACATTTTGCTCCTAATGTACTTCCTGAGATTAAGAAAGAAATAGAACGATTATTAAAATCAAGCTTTATTAGAACAACTAGATATGTAGAGTGGTTGTCCAATATCGTGCCAGTGCTAAAAAAGAATGGTAAATTAAGGGTGTACATAAACTTTAAAAACTTAAACATAGCCACACCCAAAGATGAATATCCAATGCCTACGGTAGATTCTTTAGTAAACTCGACTGCCAGACATGTAATATATTCCTTCATGGATGGATATTCAGGATACAATCAAATTGAGAAAGATATACACAAAACTGCCTTTAGGTGCTCTAGATCTCTAGGATGTTTTGAATGGGTAGCTATACCTTTCGACTTGAAAAATGCAGGAGCAACTTATCAAAGGGCAATGAACTTGATTTTTCACGAGAGGTATATGTAGATGATATGTGGTCAAATCCATTAAAGAAGAGGACCATTTTGAACAATTGAGATGTTCATTTGAGCGAATGAAGCAATATAAAATAAAATTGAATCACTTGAAATGTGCATTTGGCGTTAATGTAGGAAACTTCCTTGGTTTCTTAGTACACAAAAGAGAGATTGAACTTGATAAAAATAAAGCGAATGCCATTTTAGAGACCAAACCACCTAGCAATAAAAAAAATTGCAAAGGTTTCTAAACCAAATAAATTTTTTAAGACGCTTTATTTCTAATTGTGCAGGGCGAACTAAAGCTTTTTCGCCACTTTTAAAGCTGAAAAATCAGGATGAATTCGTCTGGAAATAAGAGCATTAAAAGGCTTTTGAAAGCCTAAAGATATATTTATCAAGTCCACCAGTATTACTTTCATCAATCCAAGGACAGCCAATGAAAGTGTATATATTGGCTGAACAAGAATCAATAGCTGGAATGGTCGCGCAAGAAGACTAATTTGGTGAAGAAATGGCGATTTACTACTTGAGTAGACGGTTAACAAAATGTGAATGTAATTACTCTACCATTGAAAAATTATGTCTTGCATTGTATTTCACGTGTACGAAATTAAGGGCTTATTTACGGCCCGTAACCGTTTATTTGATTTCTAGAGTAAATTTGATTAAGTATATGTTCTCTCGCCCTATTTTACATCAGAGGGTAGGCTTTTGGAAGTTAGCATTATCAGAATTCGAAAGACAATACATACCCCAAAAGGCAATAAAAAATCAGGCTTTGGCTAACTTTCTGGACGATCATCCATGCCTTGACATGCCTGAAGAAATTGAATTAGAAATCAATTCATTCGAATTAAAAACTTGGGTTTTATATTTCGACGGGTCGAAAACCTCTAAAGTTGCTGGAGTAGAAGTAGCATTGATAAATCTTTTAGGGATTTGTTACAAGTTCGCATTCACTTTGAATAGGATGTGCACCAACAATCAAGCCGAATAGGAAGCCTTAATCGTAGGCTTAGAATTAATGATGGATATGGAGGTAAAGAATATAATCGTTTGAGGCAATTCTCAATTGGTAATTCACCAATTGATCGGTGATTTTAAGTGTCAAAGTGATTCTATTATAAGTAAATATGAAATCGCACAAGAATTGTTGGAAGAATTCGATCAAGTAGAGTTTCAATGTGTTAATAGGATATATAATGACATAGCAAATGAGTTGACCCAAATGGCCTCATGGTATTCAAAGGCTTTAAATTGGAAATCTACTTATGCATATGGAGTAATATTGCCTGTAGTCCAAAGAAGGGCGAGAAAGATTGAAATTCATTGCATACAAGATGGAGATGCAATGGATTCGAGGGCAGAGATTAAAAGGTTCCTTAAAGAACCTAATAAAGGAGGTAGTAGAAAAATGAAGTTGTGATTGCTAAATTATACATTGATAGATGAAGAGTTGTTTAAGAAACGCTCTGATGGTCTATTACTAAAATGTGTAAGTTTGCAAGAAGCCAGAACAATCATGGCTGAAGTGCATGAAGGGATATGTGGAGCTCATCAAGCTGGCCAAAAGATGAGATGATTAATTATTAGGAGTGGATATTTTTGGCTCAAGATGGGAGAATCATGTGTTCAATATGCAAAGAGTTGTCTAGCATGCCAAAAGCATGGTCCAATACAAAAGGCGCCAGCAAGAGAGATGACACCCATTATCAAACCCTGGCCGTTCAAAGGTTGGGCGATAGACCTAATAGGGAATATTTATCCTCCATCGTCCAAGTAACATTCCTTTGTTATAATTGCAACTGATTTTTTCACTAAATGGGTAGAAGCAATACCTTTAAAGGAAATTACCCAAAAGAGTGACATAGAATTTATCCGTAATCATATTATTTATAGATTTGGGATTCCACAAACTTTGATGGTAGATCACGGAACTTCTTTAAATGGAGATCAAATGAATAAATTCTTGAGCGAGTTTGGAGTTAAATTAGTAAATTCCACACCATATTACGCTCAATCTAACAAACAAGTAGAATCTTCTAATAAGATTCTAAAAAATATCATGAGGAAAATGATAAATGAAAATACCAGGAATTGGCACGAATGTCTAAACAAAGCTTTATGGGCTTATAGGACGTCGCCTCGGTCAAGTACCAAGGTTACTCCTTTCCAACTTACTTATGGACAGGAGGCCGTTTTGCCTATAGAAATCAATGTGTGATCAATTAGAATGTGTTTGCAACATAAGTTAAGTGATGATGAGTATATCGAATCACTAGTTCAAAACTTATTGGAGTTAGACAAATTAAAGTTGGACGTCTTAGATAGATTGCAAGTTCAAAAACGAAGGATGGCTAAGTTTTATAATAAAAAAGTTATAGCCAAGTCATTTAACCTGGGCGAATTGGTTTGGAAAACAATACTCTATTTGGATAGTAAGGATCCAAAGTATGGCAAGTGGTTGCCCAATTGGGAAGGGCCATATAAAGTAATTAGTGTGTTGCCTAATGGAGCTCACCATTTAGAAGATTTAGATGGCACCAAGCACATGATGTTCATTAATGGCAAATATTTAAAAAAATATGTTCCTTCCTTATGGGAGAATGAACAAATAAAAGTGTAATCAAATTGCGTTGAACGATCGTAGATAAATAGGGCTAGAACGAAATACGTTCAAATAAAATCCTTTATTATCAAATATACATTACAAATTGTGAGATACAAAATACTAAATCCTCTATAAGCTACAATTGAGAGCAAACTAATTTCTCGGCCAATCGCCAAGCAAGAGGATGAACCAGCCTTGGTTGCCGTCCCGATTGCACTGCTGCAAGTGGTGTTGGATATGGTGGTGGCGACATGGTATCGGTTTTGGTTGTGAGGTGGTAGTGGTGCGATGATAGTGGTGCTGGTTATTGTTGGTGGGTCGCAAAATGGTGGTGAAAGTGGAGATGATGGTGGTGATGATTTGGAGAGGGTCAGCATTTTGTGACCTATTAAATAGTTAATATGTGAGTGGAGGTGGTTGCTCGTAGCTAGAGATTTGACAATGGTGATTGGTGTCTTTTGTTGGCAGTGAATTGGATGTAGTGGTGGCGGCTTTTGTTAGTGGTGGTGGCGGTGGCGGTGATGGTAGGGTTAGGGCGTCGTAAGTGGTCGTAGTGGCACTAACATTGGTATGTGATTCATTATTTGGTGTATGTGACCAATTATTTGATTATCTGTGACCAGGTATTTAATTGCGACTTAAAAATTTGATAATACGTGATTAAAAAATAATTTGTGATAAATTAATTTGAAAATTTGTAATTGATAAATAAATTGTGACTTATAATGTTTTTGATTTGTGACCGATGGAATAATTTGTGACCAATTAATTTGATAATATGTGACATTGTGGCTTATAAGTACGCATCTATGATCATGAATTGTATAATTGTGATCTTAATATATTTAATTAATAAAATATACTTAATTAATTAGTCAATAACGGATCTTTGAATTTTGAAACTTAAAACTTGAAAATTGAATTGTTCCAACGTTAAAAGAGAGAAACAAAGAGTACGATTTTCTTTGAAGAAGAAAGGAGATTCTTGTTAAGACAAGAAAATGTGAAGGGCACACTACAATGTAATATGGGAAATCTTTTTCTAGAACCAGAAGACACGCAGCACAATTTTGGCAGCTTTTGTACTTAAAGGCACCACAATGGCATTGCGTAAAGGCAAAGATGGCCTAATCTCAGTCCTTGAATGGGCAGATCAACTCAGAGTATAAATGACTCAATTTTCTTGAACTGGCCACCATAACAATTTTCTTGAATTGACTATGGCGGGATTGAGTTGCGGGTTGGCTTGGGTATGGAGTAGCAATCAAGCTAAGAGTTTACTGTTAATTGCCTCAGTTCTTGGAATGAATAATGTAGAGAAAAGTCATATTTTTATTAACACCAGAGATCTTTAAAATCTTAGGATTACCTAAGTTGATAAAGAAGCATGCCGATTACAATAACATGTAAACGGTTAGATGAACACCATCCGAATAGTGGCCAAATTGGAATGTGGACTTCTTACACTCAAACTTGTTTGGTCCCTTAATATAATCGACTTTTACCACTAACAGTACACAAACATGATTTTTAACCTTAGAGAGAAGCTTTCGAAGACCATTTATGCTGCAGTGAGTAATGGTGTATTTAAAACTCCGTGTCTGACAGGTCTCAATGGACTTGAAACCTTATAAAGAAACATATGCCTTATATTCTTAAGCTACGCTTTTCAACGCAATTCAACACACCTCGAGTATTTTCAAGACTTCGTTACAAGGCTTTGACAAATCCCAGATTAGTCTACAATGTATGACTTCATAACTAAAATATATTAAAAATAACATTGCCAAAGCGGCAGGATTACATTAATATTTAATTTTGCTGCATCCAAGGTACTTGGAGCTTTATCCAATAAAGTATCTACGAGGAACAACCTTCCGATTTAACTGATTTCCCAATTTCACATTATCATAATTCATTAACAACATCAACCCTTTTGTTTTTCTTACTATTTTGACATCATTGAACCCACCGCTCCAGCAATTAGGGTTGTGGGATCCCCAAGAACTGCAGAAATCACAAACTGTAGAGCAAATCCAGCCACTTCACAACATTTTTGAACTTTTCCTTTGCTTTTCTTATGATGAGTTTGCAGTGTGCCGTTCAAGCTAGGAATCCTCGTCTCCAGGCTCCTACTATTCCCTCCTCCATTTCCCAAATATATTTCGTGCCAGCTCTCAACCAACATCTCCCTTACGCACGCCACGTGCAAATTGTACTTCTTGCACGACGACCTATAACTCCAGCTTCTCCCCTTTCTCCCACACCTATGACACGGCGCGCTAACTTTCTTGTACAGATAAAGTTTCACTTCACCGTCATCCAACACCATAGGAAGCTTAGCGCAACATGGATGCAGATCAAATCCGCATTTCTTGCAGTGGTACACGAACCCTGTAATATCCTTCTCACAAGCGTTACAATAGCGTGCTACATTTCCAGGAGGTCGCTCAAGGAACTCGAAAGAGCACTTGGTGTAGAAAGGGTGGGATATGGAAGAGGAAGAGATGGCACAGTGCATGTGCAGATCATAGTTACAGTCGTTACACTTGTAGCACGAGCCAATCCCGGCTTCTTTGCAGCCATCACACTTGAAGGGGACTTTCGTGTATTCGGATTCGAGAGTGTGATACGGGTGGCTGAAGTGAGAAATTGCATCGTATTTCATGATTTGATCAGGCAAGAAATTTGAACTCGAGTGGCTGATATATAAAGAGAGGAGAATAATGTTCTTTGAATCCTAGAATGACTTCAAGTCTTCATGATATATGGATTAAGATCACAAGTTGCTTGCACGAGAAGCAATTTGAGGATTTATGCTTGTTGATGATGAAGTAATGCGTTCCAAGGGGACATAAGGTACATAAGAATATGAATTTTTTACTTTAAATGAAGATTTATCAATACACTAATATATATTCCCGAAACCAAAATAAATAAAGAAAGGAAACAACACACAGTTGGATAATATTTGGCTTTAGGAGTTGAATTATTTATTCTATAATTACGTAGCAAAGAATATTTCTTGTGGATTAAAGAAATTTATTAAGAATATTATGAGAGAGAATTTCAAAAAGAATAAGAATTCGGCAACTTGAAAATGGTTGTTTCATTCATATATATAAAGAAGATTTTTTGGGTCTATAATATTAGTTTCTTGGAGTGGAGGGTGGTATCAAGGAACAAATTCTTTCGTTGTTCATTCACTTATTTTCAGTTATAACTTATAAGTTTCACTTAGCTTAACTAGAAAAGCAAGTTTATTTTCTTCTACCACAATAAGATGACGTCAAAAAGACTCTAACTCGACCCGACCATTAGAGTATGATTGATGACGTCAAGTTTATTTTTTTTTCTTCTCAAGCTTCTTGTTTTGATTAAGAAATGCCTTGTTGCTTTGGCGTGAAAAACATACACAAGATGGAATAGATTCCAAGTATCCTATAAATGTTTCTTAACTGAGAAAAAGAGTCCAAAGATGGCGAACTTACACGCTATAAAGCTAAAATTAATTGCTTTTCGTCTTCGGAGACTACAGTTAGATCATAATCAAATGTTTAAGCGATTTTCAATGTATAAAATGATACAAAATTCTCAATTATTAAAGGCATCGAATAAAGTATGTGTTTCTGTACAATAGTACAAGGTTTATTTTCTGATATTATGCTTTGTTTTTCCCCTGTTCATCATCTTTATGTACAGAAAAAAACAGAAACATATGTAGTCTGGAATATTTCAGTAAGTGCATTTGGAATTTGTACTTAGGCAAGAATCTCGTTCTTACAATTTATCAATGTAAATTTCCAGTCTTTTTGGGTTCAAAACTTGTGAAAATCATAATGAAGATAATCAGATAAACGTTGCCAACACACCCTACGAATACATGCTTCATATCAACATTATCGTGAAACCTAAAGTTCCGAAACAGTAACCCAAAGAAGATTTTTAGTTCAAATTATTGAGCTACCTCAGGTTTTCTGGCTGCAAAGATACAGCATAAGTCGAAAAATTAAGATGATGAGAAAAATTCAAGTAGAAGATAACTTCTGGCTCAGTTCTTTCTCCCATTTTGCATTTCCTCCGAAACTAACTGCATGAGAAAACATAAAAAAAATGAATCAATCGTGATACTAGATAATCCAGCAGGTCAAAAGCTGTGCTTCTGCAAGCTATAGTGGCTACACAAATTTTATTTAATCTGGTGCAGCAGAGTTACATGGTTTGATTATTAAAATAACTTTATTTCTTCAATAGAAATCAAGAATGTCAAATTGTTTAAAATAGATACTAGCACCATCTGTCTCAAATATAAGAAATATAGCGAGAGAAACAAATTCTTCATGTATTATTGTTAAAGGTGAACAACTAAAGAACGCAAAACAACCAGCTAGATGCCATGTATTGGCACATAACGAATATAAAGATTACACCGCCTTCATACATACAGGCAAAAGTGAACAGAGGGAAAGGAGGGGAGGGGGGGGGTAAGATGTACTAAACACACACACAGAGACAGAGAGAGCGGTGAGAGCAGAAGGAACAAACAGAAAGTGAGAGCTCAGGGAAATTTCTTCTGAATGTTGTAGAAGTTAAAAATAAATAAGAAAGAAAGATGTAAAGCAGAAATGAAATGGAAAGGTAAAGGAAAGGGAGATAGCAAGGAATAACTGAAGAAGTGTGTAACAAATTTCAAGGCTTTCAGATGTTCTATTAATTTTCCCCTACCAATACTCAGGTACATTAAACTTATATGAGAAAGTACAGAATGGCAAAGGAAGAAGCAAAAAATATGCCCTGAACTTAGAATGCTCGCTGCCGTAATTCTCCATTAGAAGTCTAAAATTTGCAAATAGTTCATAAACCTCACGAGAACATCTCTGAACTATACATCCA